TTTAGCTCGTGGTCAAACGGGACCGTGGTCAATTGCAACGTGGCCAATCGGGACCGTGGTCAATTGCAACGTGGCCAATCGGGACCGTGGTCAATTGCAACGTGGCCAATCGGGACCGTGGTCAATTGCAACGTGGTCACCGGGACCGTGGTCAATTGCAACGTGGCCAGTCGGGACCGTGGTCAATTGCAACGTGGCCAATCGGGACCGTGGTCAATTGCAACGTGGCCAATCGGGACCGTGGTCAATTGCAACGTGGCCAATCGGGACCGTGGTCAATTGCAACGTGGTCAAGTGAAAAGGATGCTGGTCTGGTCGACGACGACGACGACGACGACGACGACGACGACGACGACGACGACGACGACGACGACCAGGACGACGAGGACGACAAAGATGTTTCTTAATCCAAAATTTCACAAAACTGACTTTGCAATACCTCCACTCCTGGGGCACGTAGGAGAAAAGTAAAAACACTTTTATTATGCAAATCGTACCCAAGCTATCGATTAAACGCAGTCTCAAATTGGTCGGATCAGCCGTTGTTGAGATCCGAAAATCTGAGGGCCCGTCAACTCGTGTACTCGCGTAAACTTACACGGTCGGTCTCGCACGCGTGTACTAGCTACGCTTACACTTGGCGCGAGACACTACCGTTTTTTATTATGTTGTGTTAAAAAATGATGCAATTAGTATTTTCATCTGACAATGAGTAAAATTTTTATTTTGAGTATATTCTATCTTTATTATAAAAAATGTATAAGGTAATGTTTTTCTTTTTTTTACATATTTTCTATATCCATTTAATGTAATTCTGCCAAAGAGTAACAGGTGATTTTGCAAACATGTATGAGATGTAAACGAGAAATAAATGTCAGACAATAATTGTTGAATCGCTTTATTCTAGGTATCTTTACAACAGTTGTTTATCCCAATAAGACTTACAAATAATGTTTTTTATTAGAACAGGTGTACAATTCTGTTACGCTTTTCTGCGCCTTGTATTTTGCTGGCTTCGTCTGCATAATTGTTAGGAACATGTTGGTTAGACATGTATTTTTTATTTTGAATCATTTTCTGAATTACCTCATCGTTATGTAGATAACAAAAATTGTGTATTAGGTGTACAAATGAATAATCCAAATTATTTTAAGCAGTTATGAAATCAATTTTAAATTGAATAGATTTTCCCGCTCTTTTGTGTTTATACAATGTTGACATATAACTATTAAAAAGAACATATAGTTTGGCGAAAGGCCCAACGTAACCTTCAAAAGTATTCAGTTCAGTACAGTCGAAAATGGCAACAGATAAGGTGCATATCCGACACTGCATTCTTTACGAATTCCAGCAAGGAAAAAATGCTACAAGAGCGTGCGAATCGATTTGCTCCTTTCTCGGCGAAGGTGTTGTATCGTACGATGTGTGCGCATTTTGGTTTAAGCGGTTTGAAAGCAGTGATTTTAGTCTAATCGACAAACAACGCCCTGAAGGCCCTCGGAAGCGCGACAACAATGATTTGGAACAACTGCTCGCTGAGAATTCGGCACAAACGCAAAAAGAGCTTGCAGAACAGTTGGGAGTAACGCAGCAAACGATTTCCAAACGCCTACATGAGATGGGAAAGATCCAAAATGAAGGAAAATGGGTTCCGCATGAACTCACTGAAACCAACAAAAATCAACGAGTGGCAGCATGTCTTTCTCTTCTCAATAAGCAGCGTCGGAAGTCTTTCTTGTGGAAAATCGTTACGGGCGATGAGAAACGGATACTCTATGACAATCCGAAACGTAGAAAGTCATGGGTAAATCCCGGCGAATCATCAAAATCGGTCGCAAAACCCAATCGCTTCGGAAAGAAGGTTCTTCTCTGCATTTGGTGGGATATCAAGGGCGTGCTATGAGTTGTTGGAACCGGGTGAAACAGTTACTGCGGACTGCTACCAACGTCAATTAATCTGCTTGAGTCAAGAATTGGAACGAAAACGCCCGTATACTGGCAAAGGAGAACGTCCAGTGAAATTGTTGCATGACAACGCCAGGCCACATATTGCTTCCAATACAAAAGACACCATAATGAGTCTTGGCTGGGACGTCTTGCAGCACCCGGCGTATTCACCAGATATTGCTCCATCCGATTACCACTTGTTCCGGTCGATGCAACACGCCTTGTCCGATATGCACTTCCAAACAGTGGATGTGATCCGAAAATGGCTTGACGACTTTCTCGTATCCAAAGACGTAACATTTTTCCGAGATGGAATTCATCAGTTGCCTGAAAGATAGCTTAAAGTTATGGAAAGCAACGGCGAATACTTTGATTGAACAATTTCATTTACTTTCTTTTAAAATAAACCCTGAATGTAGCTGAAAAAATTGGATTATTCATTTGTACACCTAATAAAACACAGATGGCTAGTACAATGTCACTGACTTTGGCAATTTCCGTGTTGACCTTCATCAAACGCTTCCATCTGCCCTTCATAAGACCAAATGCGTGCTCTATTACAGTGCGGGTTGAACTGTGATGATAGTTGTACGTTCTCTGTCTTGAAGTAAGGTCCCCAAAATCCCTGTTCAAGGAAAAAGAACATGATGAACAAGAAATTGAGAAACTGTTCACATGGTGGAACATAACAGCACATATTAAATGCAAAAACGTTGTCTTAACTTACTTGAAAGGTGCCATGCACCACATTCTATTAGGGTAAGCCTTATCACCTATCAAATGATAACTGTCATTAAAGAACATGGATTCCACTCCATCTCGCATTATCGTCCGGTAAACACTGGAGTACTTCAGAACCCGGGCATCATTACGAGAACCAGGTGTTCCAATAGATACATTTGTAAATATTTTTGTTGCAGTACAAATTCCTATCAAATAAAAAACTTATATTATCATGAGAAAGTTATGCTATTAATGGCAAAAATGTACTATCTTGTTTGAGCATAAAATCTCACCTTGAAGTGTAATAGAGTAGTTGCATGTGCGATCTATGTAACTAGAATGCTGGTTTGCTGGAGGTATGACTTGAATGTGGCAACCATCGATGGCTCCAATGACACCTGAAAAGATGGCAAAGAACAATAAGACATGACAAAGTTCCTGCATGAGGGGCATTATCTTTAAAAAAAAATTTAAGTGATATAGCCAAGCCATACAGAGTGCTCACCAGGAAATCCTGCACGTGCTTCAAATTGCCTGCTCAGTACCACACACTCACTCTCTTTGGGCCAAACAATAAATGTATTTCTAAGATTACACAGTATGTGAATGATAGTTCTGGTTTCCTTAAAAACTGCTTTGAGCCACTGCAAATCGGTCACCTATATCAGACAAAGGGACATGCTTCCCCAGATAACATAATGTTATCAGGACAGCTTTCTCAACCGTCACCAAAGGTGCATCACCTCTCTGGCACTTGACAGGATAATAAGGTCGGACCGTGTTGACAAGGGCCCAATATGTATTCTTCATCATCCTGTACATACAACCAAAATAGGGAATCCACTTAACCTAACAAGAGTCAATAAATGCCCCCCCCCCAAAAAAAACATCGATGCATGATAAATAAAAAATGTAGCAGTAACGAAGCTGATTTGTGCTTTCTTACCTAAATTGTTTATGAAAATCTTGATCAATGTAACGGGTCACCCATTCTTCGTTAGCAATTATTCCTATTTTGAAGTGAGTTATTCTATCTTTTAGAAAGGAAAGGGTAACCCTGCTTGTGGGTTGTAACTGATACATATTAACAATATGTGATATATCGTCATCAATCACTTCCATCATACAAAATAACATAACAGATAACCTCTCCATTTGAATCCGTCATGACACATGTAGCAACAAAACTGTTACCGCGCTAATGCCTTTGCGCACTGTCTGCCCGAAACGTTTTAATTCTTGATTACTATTTGTGACGTCATGTCTTCAAACGCGAGCCAACCGCTTGTAGTCTGGTAGCAGCAACGAAAACGCACCTATAGACGCAGCGTATAAGCGGACGACACGACCGCGCACACCTGCACCGAAGAGCGGACGCAACACGCGACGCACGCAGAAAGTCTCGGGTGACCGCGAAAACTCGCGATATCTCCCGTGGAAGACGCGCACCAGGAGACCGACGAGACACGCGACACCACCAATGGCGGTACTACACCGCGCACCATTACCGCGCAGCCGCTATCAGCTCCTCGCGCGGTTAATAAGCCGAGAAACCAGGGCGCGATGCCCACGGCGATGATGCGCACCGTGAGGCACGCACACGCGTTCCTGAAGGCGCAACCGCAAGCCTGTGATATATGCAGCACGACACCTCGACCGCACGCAAAGCGGCAATGTACCGCGGACGCACAAAATGACCGTGCCGACGGACACCGAAGGCACGCGGCCGCCGCACCCCGCGGCCAGCAAGACGATCGCGAATCGAACAATGCTTCTATCAAAGCACAAGATCGCTCGTCACCCGTGAGAAAGAGGACGTTACACTA